AGTTCGAGACCAGCCTGACTAATGTGGAAAAACCCCGTCTCTACTAAAAATACAAAATCAGCCAGGCATGGTGGCACACGTCTCTAATCCCAGCTACTTGGGAGGCTGAGACAGGAGGATCGCTTGAATTCAGGAGGCAGAGGTTGCAGTGAGCCAAGATCACGCCACTGCATTCCAAAGCTCCATCTCAAAAAACATATATACAAAAAAATTAGCTGGGTGTGGTGGCACACACTTGTAGTCAGCTACTTAGGAGGCTGAGGTAGGAGGATCACTTGAGCCCAGGAGGTTGAGGCTGCAATATGCCAAGATCGTGCCACTGCACTCCAGCCTGGGTAACAGAGCAAGATTCCAAGTCCAAAATAATAATAATAGTAATAATAATGAGATAGGATTAAAAGCAGATTAGATATTATAGGAAAAAAGATTAATGAACTCGAAGATACTAGTGATAGAAACTATCCAAAATGAACACAAATAGAAAAGAGCAAAGATGTGTTACTATTAGTGATCTGTAAGACAACTTCAGTACTAGCGGCCTAATACATGTGTAAACAAATTCCCTCAAAAGGGGTTGGGGGACAGAAAAAAACAAAGAAATGCCAAAAAATTTCCATATTTGATGAAAACTATAAATCCACAGATCAAAATGCTTAATAAGCACCAAGCAGAAGAAACGTGAAGAAAACTACACCAAGGCACAGCACAGTGAAACTGCTCAAAAGCAATGGTAAAGAAAAAATCCTAAGATCAGCTCCAGGAAAAAGACATACTACGTTTGGTGAAATAAAGACAAAAATGGCAGCAGATTTCTTAATGGAAACACTGCAAATGAGAAGAGAGTAGGGCAACGACATATTTAAAGTGCTAAATTTAAAAATTCTCTATATCAGGCAAAAATATCTTTCAAAAATCCTCTTATCACCCCAAGGCCAGGTACCAAACAACCAGGGACAACCCCTATGCTGCAGTCCCCAGTGAAATTATCCAATCCTAGGCCAATTTAACCTACCTCACCTATTCCTTTCCAAGGAAACCACAATAGAGGTGCCTACCCACAGGTGCCCTCCCTCTTTTTACCTCATGACTGACTTGGTATCTCCCCTAAATGGCCCTGTATGGCATGCTGCTTCTCCCCAGGGAGCTGTGAGTATTACAAAACTATAAAACTCTTTCTGGGTTCTTTCTCTTGATCTGCATTGGGTCTCACTGTACTCACCCAAGACAGTATGGCTAAAATAAAATGTGGTACTTACAAAGAAATTCCCAGCACTAACTGCCTATATTAGAAGAAGATTGCATAATGACAACAACTTCCACCTTAGAAACCAGAAAAACTAGAGCAAATCAAAACCAAAGCAAGCAAGCTGGTGGGAGGGAGGGGAGGGAGGGAAGGGAGGGAGGGAAGGGAAAGGGGGGGGGGGGGGGGGAGGGAGGAAGGAAGGAAGGAAGGGAGGGGGGGGGGGGGGGGGGGGGGGGAGGGAAAGGAAAGGAAAGAAAAGACATCAAGGCTTAAATCAATGAAATAGAAAACTGAAAAACAATAGAGAATATCACTGGATCAAAAGCTGGTTTTTTTCAAGATCAGTAAAACTCATAAAAGTCTAGCTAGATTCATCAAGACAACAAAACAAAAAAGGAGACACAAATTACAAATACTAGGATTGAGACAGGTGACATTACTACAGATTCCATGAATATTTTAAAATAATAAGAGAATATTATGAACAGCTTTATATACTAACAAATTCCACAATGTAGATAAAATGAACACATTTCTGGAAAGATGCAAACCACCAAAACTCACTCAAGAAGGACTAGATAACCTGAATATATCAAAAAACGGAATTTGTAATTAAAACCCCTCAAGAAAAGAAAATTCTGGACCCAAATAGCCTTACTGGTGAACACAGTCAAACATTTAAAAAAGAAACACCAAGACCATACAAAAATTAAAAAGGACAGTATACTTTCTAACACATTCTCTGAGGCCAGTATTACTCTAACACCAAAACCAGACAAAGACATCACAAGAAAAGAAGGCTAAAAACCTAGCTCCTTATGAATGCAGATGTAAAAATGCTCAGCAAAATACTAGCAAATCATACCCAGCAACATGTGAAAAGAAATATACAGGCCAGGCACAGTGGCTCATGCCTATAATCCCAGCACTTTGGGAGGCCGAGGCAGGTGGATCACCTGAGGTCAGGAGTTCAAGACCAGCCTGGCCAATGTGGTGAAACCCCGTGTCTAGTAAAAATATGAAAACTAGCTGGGCATGATGACGCGTGCCTGTAATCCCAGCCCAGGAGGTTGAAGCAGGAGCATCGCTTGAACCTGGGAGGCAGAAGTTGCAGTGAGCTAAGACTGTGCCACTGCACTCCAGCCTGGGCAACAGAGCAATACTCCATCTCAAAAAAAAAAAAAAAAAAAAAGGAATATATAGTTGGCCCTCCATATCTGTGGGTTCTGCATCCCTGGATTCAACCAATCATAGATTGAAAATACTAAAAAAAGAAAAAATCTTGGTGGCAGGGGACAAACACAATGGGAGCCAGCACTTTGGGAGGCCAAGGAGGATCACAGGGTGTTACTATGTTGCCTAGGCTGGTCTAGGCTGAAAGACAGCCTCGGTGACATAGTAAGACCACTGTCCCTGCAAAAAATAAAAATAAAAAATTAGCCAGTCATATTGGAGCATGCCTGCAGTCCCAGCTACTCAGCAGACTGAAGGGGAAGGACTGTTTGAGCCCAGGAAGTTGAGGATGCAGTGAGCTTTGTTTACATGCAGCACTCCAACACTGGCGGCAGAGCAAGACCCCATCGCTTAAAAAAAAAAAAAGTCATGCCTGTACCAAACATGTTCAGACTTTTTTCCTTGTCATTAAACAAGACAGTATAACAACTACTTACACGGCATTAGATATTGTAAGTAATGTAGAGGTGATTTATAGTACACCAGGGGATGTACATAGGTTATACACCAACACTACACCATTTTGTATAAGGGACTTGAGCAACCACGGACTTTAGTATCTGGGCGGGTGGAGGGAGGGAGTCCTGGAATCAATCCTCCATACATAGGGAAGGGAAGACTGAGGCCGGGCGCGGTGGCTCAAGCCTGTAATCCCAGCACTTTAGGAGGCCGAGGCGGGTGGATCACAAGGTCAAGAGATCGAGACCATCCTGGTCAACATGGTGAAACCCCGTCTCTACTAAAAATACAAAAAATTAGCTGGGCATGGTGGCGCATGCCTGTAGTCCCAGCTACTCAGGAGGCTGAGGCAGGAGAATTGCTTGAACCCAGGAGGCGGAGGTTGCAGTGAGCCGACATCGCGCCATTGCACTCCAGCCTGGGTAACAAGAGCGAAACTCCGTCTCCCAAAAAAAAAAAAAAAAAAAAAAAAGAGAAGGGAAGACTGTGTATGCCAATGCCAAATGGGATTTAGCAGAGGAATGCTAGGTTGGATTAATATACAAAAAATCAGTCAAAGCATTATGCCTGAATAACAAAGGAAAAAAACAACATGATAATTTCAGTAGACACAGCAGTATTTGACAAAATTGCTTGAGCTCATGAGTTTGAGACCAGCCTGGGCAACATAGTGCAACCTCATCCCTACTAGAAAATTTCAAACATGACCCAGGTAGGGAAACATGTGCCTATAGTCCCAGCTATTCAACGGGCTGATGTGGGAGGGTCACTTGAGCCCGGGAGATTGAGGCTGCAGTGACCCACGATTACACCACTGTACGCCAGCCTAGGTGACAGAGCAAAACCCTGTCTCAAAAAATAAAAATAAAACCGCATCTCAACCTTGTGACACATCTCAAGACTAGATACTCAATAAATTATCAGTGCTTTATGAATGAACAGGCAAAAACTTTCACAGACGCTATTACCTTCATTTACATATGAGAAAACTAAGGCTCAGATTTTTACCAAGGTCACACACCTAGATAAACTTATGAAACAAAATCAGCTTGATTCCAGATCGTATACTTTTCCCACTATTTTCTAATCATAACAAAATATGGTGTGAAACATCTCAAAAGAAAGTTTAAGAGAGTTCTCAATTACTATATTTTTACTACATAGAATATAATAAAAATGTGGCTGGTAGCGGTGGCTCACACCCATAATCTCACTGCTTGGGAGGCAAAGGTGGGTGGATCACTTGAGTCCAGGAGTTTGAGACCAGCCTAGGTAACATAGTGAAACCCCGTCTCCATTTAAAATACAGAAATTAGGCCAGGTGCAGTGGTTCATGCCTATAATCCCAGCATTTAAGAGGCCAAGGCAGATGGATCACCTGAGGACAGGAGGCAAAGGCAGGTGGATCACCTCAGGTCAGGAGGTCCAGACCAGCCTGGCCAACGTGGTGAAACCCCATCTCTACTAAAAATACAAAAATTAGCCAGGCGTAGTGGCAGGTGCCTGTAATCCCAGCTACTTGGGAGGCTCTGGCAGGAGAATTGCTTTAACCCAGGAGGCAGAGGTTGCAGTAAGCCGAGATTGTACCACTGCATTCCAGCCTGGGTGACAGAGTGAGACTCTGTCTCAAAAAAAAAAAAAAAAATTAGCTGAGCATGGGAGCACATGTCTGTTAGTCCCAACTACTTGGGAGGCTGAGGCAGGAGGATCATTTGAGATCAGGAGGTAAAGGTTGCAGTGAGCCAAGATTGTGCCACTGCATTCCAGCCTGGGCAACAGAGTGAGACTCTGTCTCAAAAAAAAAAAGTAAGCTATAGACCCTTTCCGTATATTAACAAAAAAGAAAAAAAATGCAATTAGATTATTAATTTGCGGCAGAATAGAGAAGTGTACTTTTCTGGCATTCTCAAAAGTGGATATAACGACAAATCTAAAATAAAAATCAAAAGGTGTGAATACAAAACACATCTCAGTTGGTAAAAAAAAAAAAAAAAAAAAAAAAAAAAAAAAAAAAAAAAAAAAAAAAAAAAAAAAAGGAAACGACTATTCCAAAAAAAGGACTAACCTGACTTTAGACAGAAGTTCTCCTCTGTCTGCACAGTCCACAGTGACTTGTCGAATAAGTTCATGAAATATCGTATTGTAAATGGTCTGTTCCTTCTTCAATATATGTAGCAGTTTGTGCATCTATCAGAAGGTAAGTAACAAAGTCAGTACTTATTACAGTCCTATCAGTAAAAATCATTTTAGGAGGTTGTCACTCTGAATGCAAATAGGTTTTAGAAACATCTCGATTCATTTATTTCACTTACATTTTCATGTACACATATATATACAAAACTGATACTTGATTTTTAAAAGTTGCTCTGGCCAGGTGCAGTGGCTTACACCTGTAATCCCAACACTTTGGGAGGCCAAAGTGGGCAGATTGTTTGAGGCAAGGAGTTTCAGACCAGCCTAGGCAATACAGTGAGACCCTGTCTGTACAAAAAATATAAAAATTAGCTGGGCATGGTGGCACGCACCTGTAGTCCCAGCTACTCAGGAGGTCGAGGTGGGAGGTTGTGGCTGCAGTGACCAGTGATCACACCACTGTACTCCAGCCGGGTGACAGAGTGAGACTTTGTCTCAAAAAAATTTTTTGGGTTTAATCATGTGCCTCTTTATCTGATGCACTGAAAAGGTCACAATATCGTGTTATGAAATATCATGTTGTAAATGGTCTATTCCTTCTTCAATATATGTAGCAGTCTGTGCATCTGTCAGAGGTAAGTAACATAATCAGTACTTATTACAGCCTTATCTGTAAAAACATTTTACTGATGCACTGAAAAGGTCACGATATCACTTCTGTGTTGTACCTGCCAAAAATATAAAACCTCAATCTAAAATCATGACTATACATCTGACAAACCAAAATTGAGGAACATTCTACAGAATAACTGGCTTGTGTTCTTCAAAATAACAAGGTCAAGAAAAACAAAGAAAGTCTGAGAAACTGTTTCAGATTAAACTTATCTAAAGAAACATGACAACTGGCCAGGAGCAGTGGCTCACACCTGTAATCCCAGCACTTTGGGAGGCCGAGGCGAGCAGATCACCTGAGGTCAGGAGTTCGAGACCAGCCTGGCCAACATGGAGAAACCCCATCTCTACTAAAAAAAAAAAAAAAAAAAAAAAACTTAGTCGGGCGTGGTGGCAGGCACCTGCAATCCCTGCTACTCCGGAGGCTGAGGCAGAAAGGAGAATCACTTGAACCCAGAGGCGGAGGTTGCAGGAAGCTGAGATCAC